GGGGGGTCCATGTGGGGAAAAATGGAGGAAAATGGTGAAAATACATGATTTTTAAAGAAAATTCTTAGGCTGGAGGGGTTTCCTGAAGCCCAAATAACCCCTCTGGATCTGCCACTGAAACTGACAATATTTTACAGTCTACAACGACACATCACTCATATTTACAGTCAAACTACTTTACCTTCGGACTTAAATTTGACAAAGGTTGTTTTGCTCTCCATCATGGCGTCGACAGCTAGTTTCTCGCCGTAGTTGGCCGTGATGATGGCTATGGTTGGTTGTTGGTTGGCTGCAATGGTTGGCATCTGTTTCACCATCTGGACCTCTACAAGATTGTAAATCATACAGCTGATTACAAAAACACTCATTAACCTTCAACAGGCTATTACTAGTGGTGGAAATCGGTTGAAATTTCATAATCAATGATCGCTTTTACGAAAATTTCTTAAATAAATCTGTGTGATCCATATGATATATGATTCAGCGATAACATTCTGACAATTATTTCCTTTTAAATTGAGCACCTATCAGGAAAGGTATCGCAATACTAGACTTCTGTGTTAGAATATGTCATCATACGCATACACTCTAGGTGTAATGTGACTTCCCTGATGTAAGAAGTATGAAATGAGAATCTTACAGAAAGTATTGAGTCTGCATTGGTTCTACATAATGTGCATTGCTCAAGTGAGACTAAATATTTCATACCAAGAGGCATATCAAGAAAGGTAGAAAATGTCCCCATAAGATCACGTAGATTAGCGCACAATTTGTTCAGGATTAAAGGAATGACGGCCATGTAGGCCATTTTGCTTTTCAAGTCACATTAAAAAATAACACAACTCTTTCACGACCATGGCAAGATAATTCCTAGCATTAGGTTTAATCAAATTCTAAGTGACTATCCCTGGGAGGAAACTGTAGTCACACAATATAATTATGTTTTAACACCAGACCACTTTACAGCATTATTTGTCATAAAGTGTCACCTGGGTCTTTACCAATAGTGAAAATAAGGTATATATATATGTGCAAGGTAATAGTATTGTCATTATTATTGTGTATGAATGTATGACTGGCCTATTGGTATGATAAGGCATTTGTTCTTGTATTTTCAGAATGGTTCAGTTATGTAAGTATGACGTAAGTTTGTTATTTCATAACGAAATGATTTGAAAGGCATGTGTGATTACCATGTATACTTCACTAATTAACCCAACATTTCCTAGTAACCCGTCTACAATTGTCCTTGGTGACTCACCAGTCTTGTCATCCTCCAGTACATGTCGTACTATTTTTCCGTTCTCCACCTCCCGTACCAAGTCTCGCTGCTTCAGTTCTGACAGCTGCAGCCTCACTATAGCTTCATCAGCCTGTGTCATTCTGGTCAAAAGTATCAAAGTTCTCATTGTTTAATGCTGTCAATAACCCTTCAACATGACATTTATCTTCTGTACAATAATAACTGTTAAACCTAATTGGAAACCTATCAATTAATTTCAAATTTTAATATTCATAGCTGCCTTGTCATTGGTACTATATTTATGAAATTCTTATAAATAAAACAAGGGAGACATTTTTAAGGACAGGAAGCTTAAGTGTACCTGAAGAAAATTCAAACCTGATCTGCTGTATACAAATGTTTAAGACCTCTGGAGTATAATTACTTAATCTGTTGAAAGACAGCAGAGGGCCAGTTCTGAATCGAGATGAGGGTCTCATTGACTCTCACACATCAATGACCAGTCATTAAACAAAGCTTAGCCAAATTGATTTGTCAATTTGATTCTGATTTTGTACATGAACAGCAAATATGTGCATGTATGCTTATAGTGTGGCCGAATCCATGTCAATTTTAAGTTGCAATTTAGTACACCTTTTTGTAGTACACATAAACACTGCCCTGATTGTGGTATAACATTTTCTTTACAATTCATATATTCACCAACCCGAAGAAAAAGTAAAGAAATATCATCAACCTGGGCCTTTTGGTTTTCGGAAAGTCGTTGTAAGATTCCAACACATTTGACCCCTGTGATCTTGAAAGTGTTTCAGGGTCATTCAATTGCACAAACTTGCATTGATAGCCCTTCATCCTATAATGCTACTGGCCATATATCATCGCCCTATGCCTCTTGTTTTTTGAAAAAATCTGAATAAGTTGACACCGGACAGACAAAACACTGAAGCATAAAGCTTTGGCCAGGCGAGCTAAAAATGTTATGAAGAAAGTGAAAAATTCCTTCCAGTCACCAAGCATTAACATCACTTCAGTGATAACTGACCTGATGAGATCTTCCACCTCCAGGACATTAGGATAGGCCGACTCTAGGATATGAAGCATCTTTTCACGTACAATATCCTCTGTGGGTCTTTTGTCTTCTCGGTTAAGTCCTGAAGATAAAAAAAATCATAATGCATGAAAACAAAAATTACTAAAATATTTAAGTACCAATTAACAATGTATAATTCCTGGACTTTTTTTCAATTTGTTGTCTTTTTATGATTTCTTATCCGCAATGTTAACTTCAACATAATTTTTTGTTGCTCTGGTTGGTAAACTGTTTCCAAAGAGTGGAATCAAACACTACCGTGATAAATACTGAATATATCATGTTAACTTTTAACGAAAATAAATATAATGAAATATGAATTATATTTTATGGAAATTGACAAGGTATATTCATCACTTCACTCAATCTTCTTTGACCCATAACTATGACTTGGGAATTTCAAATTATCATTTATTCAAAGGAGTATTGATAAACCCTTAGAATTGTTATTCATTTTCCTATAGGATCTTTAATTTCTTTTCGACCTTTGTAAACAAAAACCAAAATCATTCATAGGTTTCTGTGTCCATATAATCTTTCAAATAACTTGTGAAAAATAAACACATCCATGCAGTGCTACAAACAAATAAACAAACCAAACACAAACAAACAACAACCTTTAATCTATATATGTAGAACACAGCTGGTACTGTACACCCACAAACACATAGACAAATATGACAACAGTTTCATTATGTTTTACATCCTGAAATAAGGCTTCTCGTACGCTTAGGTATCTGAATATAGTATCAGAAAATTATACACAAAAATGTCGAGAGCAACATTTTTAGATTTAACGAATCCTGTAGAAACAACAGCAGAAATGGATCTCCTTTTATACACCCCATACAATGAGTACCTTTAGGAAATTACGCAATTAATGTACCTCAGTCCTATACAGTTCTGGAGTACACAAACACTATTAACAAGGAAATCAAGGGATTAATTTGCCAGCACCTGTTGCAAATTACAACATGTACAGGCTTGAACTTTAATTTGCCAGCAATTTACGCAATGACAATATAAATGCTTGTAGACAGTCTCACGATTTCTCATTCATTTCCTACAATTTCATCGCCTTTGCAACTTCGTTATAACCATAAATCAAGACGTGCCTCAAATTATTTTCTTGGCAAAGTCCATTGGGGATCACAAGCCTAAAAGACTTTTAAAATCTGATCCTCTTGATGCTTTAACAAACACGACTACATCTGATTGATTTTGGTGACATACTGTATGCACCTGTTGACCTCGATCTGAACCTCTGAACAATGATCACGAGTACCAAGATGATGGTATGCCTGAAGTCTAATGATCAATGGCCATTATTTCCGGAAGATTGGATTCGTCACCGATATGCCAGAACTTATTTTTCCATAATAACAATCCTATGTACTTCTGACAAATCATCTTACAGTAAATTTTGTAATTAATGCAGCTTGTACGGAAATTTGCATCATGCAGGGAATGGTACACATTACAGTACGTTTCCGGACCGTCACACAATATATGGCCATGGCTGATCAGAAATGCAGCTACTGTATGTATAACACAACATAACAGTGTCACCAAACCTCCAATAGTCAAGCCTAATGCATAACAGTAATGATCACTACAAAATTTTGGGAAATGTTCAGGATTTTTGTATTCCTTTCCTCCCCCCACCCCCCTTTTTGGCTGTTTTCAATTTGGTTTCTAGATGTTCGGTTACAAATCTAGACGAGCGAGACTTGATTTTAAATGCCACTAAAACTGAAAACAAACTACATCCAATCAATCTTAAATAAATGCCCATGCAAGGTGTTCTGGTATGCTCCAGCATAACAATTATGATTGAAATCACGATTGCACACATTCTCTGCTTCATACAAATGCACATTAACGGCATAATGCATAAAAGTGCACATTTTTGTCTTTTTAAACTCAATAACATATACAGAGTTATATAATCACAGTACCAGTCACCACTGTTGTCAAGTCTTAGACATAAATATTTTCATATGCATAACATCCTTATATTTTAACTATTGGCCCTAGTTTCACATACAGTACTTAATTCTCGGATGTGAATTCAACAAATGAACTCCCCGAATCATATGCAGAGATACAATGTATACACAAACCACATGTTTCACAATAAGGACTACTCATGGCAGTGAGAAAACCTCTTGTATTAAACGCACATTTTGATGAAATATGAAACACAGTTGTAACCTAGTGCAAGCGGACAATAAAGACTTACATCTGTTGTTTTTGTTTTGATTTCTAAAATATTATAATCAAAGGATTTACACAAATTTCTTGTGGTATGATATAAATGCAAATTTCTTCATCATGGTAAAATTTGGGGGAAATAACATGTGGTACACCTTATATACAAAATATAGTTACTATAGTTATATAGTCCTACTCATAAGAAGATTTCTTTTCACATTTCGTCTTTGTCACAAAAAAGCAAACGCTATCATGTAAAGTTCTCCAATAGTTTTCACCAGTGAAGAGGGCTACATAATCTATTTACTTCCAAGACTCCTCTATGAGGTCAAGGTTGCACTTGTGCAATTAAGTCATCCAAATGTGCACCTGATGTAGCCAAACAAATTTTATGGTCTACCCAGATCAAAATTAGTTTTTAACTTTTATCAAATACTTTCATGTGATAGCTATTGAAAGGATGTCTCACTGTCATGGAATGATGGGAAACCCCGATACGATGAGAGTACAGTTGATGGAGATACAGAAACACAAATGTCTGTAGCCACATTGTAAAAGTTAACCATGTCTCAGCAAGTTGTACATGAGTTATCTCCCTTGAAATAATTTTAATTAGTTGGTAATGATTTTCAACTACTTGGCAAATTAAGTGATATAAATGCAGTTAATCTAATTTTTTCAAATGTGACATTTATTAACTAAACAAGTCCAGATTGCTGTTCATAATATAATTTAACTGCTTTCAACAAACTTTTTTTAAATCTACAAAACTGCATCAGTTATATCAAATTAAAGAAGCATCAAGATATACATGTAGGCTATAGATACTGTGTCAAAATATCTCACTGAATCTCCAAAACGAAACCACAATATAACAACATTCAAAGGGCAGTGGAAATAAAAATCACTCATAACATTCAAAGTGGTGAGGAAATCATGTCTCAAACAGTATATATTCACCTTCAAAGTCTTCAATTAAAACATTTATATTTCTTTATTTTAGCAATTATTGCAACGTTTCCAGTTTCTTTGTCAAAACTTAAAATCAATCAAAAATACCAGTAATAGGAAATGACTCACTTTGTGAAAAAGGTAGATAAACGTTGTTTGAGATATCACTTCAAAAGAAAAACAACCATTAATATATATACAAGAGAAGTGTCTTATATCTGTACCCTCTAACTTAACACACAGTAGATCCTTGTGATCGGAGTAAGGCTGTCATATACTTTTGAGCTCAGATCAAGGACAAGGCTAAGTTTCTTTTGACCTTGGTGCAAGGTAAAGATCCATGCAACCTAGGGACAACCCGACATCCTTGTTACTTTAGGGGACAGGGCCATGCAAGATCCTTTTTACCTCCGGGAAAAGGCAAAGATCTTTTTGACCTTGCATCAAGGTCAACATTCTTTGGCCAAGGCTACTGTTGTATAGAGGATGGTACAGACGTTTCATCATAGTGCCTGTCTGAGGACAAACACTGTACTTACCAAAAATATCCTCCGCATTCCTCCCTGATTTGCATATAATCAAAATGTAACAGGTTTAAAATCTTAATTAAATGTTAGCTTGTGATCTAATGTATACAAATTCATTACAAAATAATCAAAGCGGAGTATCAAAGGCCCCTGTTGTATAAATGAGTTAGATAGTAATCATTAAATTGTTAGCCTTATAGTCTGACTGTTTTGAACACTATGCCTCAGGATACTGAGATTTGAGTGTCTACTGGCTGAGCCGCATCAAAATATAATTCATAAATCAGATTTCTAAGTTGATCTTAAAATTCACTTATCAATAAATGATACCTGAACTACTATTGAATGTTTCATGATCCCGAGGCCTGAACATGTACAATAACGTACTTTAGTAAATCTCTCCAGTTTTGAGAAGGAACTTCAACAACATTTACTTACTCAAAAGATTTTTTTTTTAATTCTCAAAAAGGACAAATTCTTATCCCCCAGAGCGAATAATCAAGAAATATTACAATTTGTGAAGGATTCAATGAATATATAGCGTTAACAGGGCCAACGAGTGCATTTCCAGTGGGTCAATAAATACCATTAGGTTAGTACTTTTTTCTTCTTATTATTTTTTAGAAATATTATATTTCTTTATAAAAATGAATTAATTTCAGCTATATTTTCCCCCCACAATTTTTCTTATCATAAAAAATCCCCCAAAATGTTAGGGTAGGTGTCGTTTTTAGTAAATTGGTTGTGAAACTGCAAACAATTTAAGGATGACCCAGTACATCTCACAAAGAGATTTACTATATGGTTACCCAGGTATCAAAAATTATGTTTAGGTTGTAAACATGCATTTGTCAAAGTGGTTTTCAACATCCATATTTTATATCTTTATAATTTAACTACCCGGTATACAAAAACATTTATGAATTAGGGATGGAAGAGTTTGGTATTCATCAGAAATACGAATACAGTGGAAAACTGAACAAATTAATGTTTACTCAAAAATGCTCAAAATGCATACTAACAAATACATGCATTTTCAAACTCAAAATGGTCAAAGAGAAATTCTGCATTTGAGTGAACACATACCGGCAGCTAAACTTAATCCTCTGAATCAGAAGAGACATGTATAAGCTTCCCTGATATTTCTATATGTTCTTACAATATTTCTGAAAGCTGTTCTTATATATTTAAATGTATAATCATATATCATAAGTATAGGATGACTGAAAAATATGTTCACATATACTCGCACTTAAGCTCATAAAAATACCAAACTCAATGGATTATCCAATTGAATTTGTTATAACATGTATGCTGGTATTTAATGGGAAACTGGGTTCATGTAATGGGTTGTAAACATCAAAAGTCATAATAAAAATATTGGGATTTAATATAAATGCAGTCGACATCTGATGAACTCACAAAACACAATAACTAAATGTACATACGAAAGTGCTATCAAACTTCCATTTCTCTTTTCCCCCTATTTTTTATCATAAGGTACATTTGTATGTATAAATTAGGAATTTGATTTTTGAAAATGATAATTATAAATAGAGATAGTCTATACATAATAAGGGTAAACATCTTTCATGTAATATTAAAAGAAAAATAGTAGTATGATAGTTTAACTGAATGCCAAATAAGAAACTACATTGTTCATGTAGATAAGTTAAAAACCACATTTACTGAAGGAATATGATTTATTTTTATTTTTATTTATAAATCAACAAATTCATTTAAGGCTTAAGGGACAATTGTTTTAGAACAATGCTGGGGAGATGGGAGGGCAAACAACATTTCTGTTATGGCCCAAGATCTATTACCAATCACAACATATTAGCAGGTATGCAAACCTGAGTTAGTTTATATTCTATGAACTTGAGGGCAATTCAAAGCTAGCAGCGAGCCATTCATGCATATATATATATTGGGGGGTATGTGTGTGAACATGGAATAACCCTGAATGTTTCAAATCAATCATCCATGGAAAGTTGACAATATATATATATATATATACCGGTAACTATCATATATACTACACATAAATGAAATTAACATTTAACTTACATAAATTTAACAGATTAAAGTTTCACAAAACAAAATACCAGACAAAACAACAACAGTTTCACCAGACATTATGAATTTTCATTATTAAATAAACAACATTGTATTACAACATACATTATAGTTGATGGACAGTCTCAGAATCTACATGTCAATATCATATACAGCTCATTTCAATGAATCCATATGAAGAAGAATTGAAAGTGCTGAAGCTCATAATCATATATAACAAGAATAACCAAACAATTAAAAGGAGAAAAACTCAAACTGGTATTAAACAAGTGCTGGCATGACTTCAGTAGTGTGAGCAAGCGACGGTAACTGATTCATGACCAAATAAGGATATCACACAATAAACATCGTATGCCAGGACCTACCTCTCTCCGACAAAGTGGTGGAAACAATTCCTTCTGATGACAAGCACACAATCACAATCAACTATAGATGACATTCACATATATCTAAGTAGATGCTTTCATTAAGATTTAAGAAATCAGCATCTTGCCTATGAATTTAAGTAATTTAGTAGGACAATATTTTGAATACGGAACCATGCACAATATTTTTTGGGAGGTCACGATACACCTACAATATTTTCTAGATTTTGTCGTTTCTGAATTTAGCCTATTCATAGACGTCCCAATATGGAGTGAGATTGACAGCTTCAGCTCCACAAGCACGTCGAAAGACTTGAATTGTGTGAAACTTTAAAGTCATGCCAATTTTGGACCAAGTCTATTTCCTGTTGTAATATTTCCATTAAAAATTTGCAAAACCATATCTTTTCGCTTTGCTTCTACTGTTACTATATGTATAGTGACCACAGTATTGTGATCACGTATCGTCTCGTCATGTTAAGGTGTCGTTGCAGCCCTACTAATAAGATATACTTGTAACTTCAAAAATCAAAGACTTGTGTCATAAATGTTACATAACAAGTGTCATAGGCAACGAATCTGTCATGATTGTCTTCCTGGGTTTCTTCAGTGGCAGACTTTTGCTGACGTTTATAACATCATTAATCATCATGCATACACAGTACACAGTGAGATGATTTGATGGCCCGGTCACTAAAGGTTGACCAATGCTTACCGGTGACAGTTTAATTAGGCAGGTTAGACTATACTACATTTACTATATAAACTCTGTTTGTACTGAATATCACTCCAAGTCTATCCCACTAAATTAGTATTCTCAACTTTTAATATTGTAAACAAATATCCAAACATATTTTAAAAATTCGTCGATTTTTTTATCACCCAGGTTGAAATTTCTCAAGAAAACACAATCAAATCCAATCAAAATCCCATTAGGAAAAATAATCCTCCATTTTTGACAAGACAATCACTGGGTACCAATGAGCCTTTGTGATAATTCTTAGAGGAATGCTTTCAATTCAATTTAAATCAAATAGTTGTCTTTGATTTTTCCTGTAATAATCTCAGTGACTATTTATTCAGAATAAAGTCATGTAAGAATTGAGAAACCAAATCAAATGGGATGGACAGCAACTTTGTGATCATTAATTTCCTCTATTGACAAAACTTGCTAAATACATGTTATTGCAAATGAGGAACTTAAAGACTTGATTTCATGAGGACTCAATGCAAATATTTCAAAACTGTGCAATCAATTATTTTAAGTATCAATGAAGAATCTGTTTTCCTAAATTACACACAAAGTTTCGACCTTTTGCAAAATATGCTAATGAACACCAGTTTGTTTAAGTCAACAAAGAAATAACAGTTACAACAAACATCAATGAAAAACATGGTTTAATATATTTGATACCAATATGGAGACTTCCTTACTATTTTCCTACCAAATTAAATTGACAGTAAATCCATTATGAAATTTAGGGCTTAGCAGTTATCATTCAAGTAATACTTTTCAGCGTTGACACTACTGGGAGAACTTGCAGGTTCCTTTTTTAAAACAGTCAATATTGACGCTAGCTACAGTACCACAAAACCCTGCAGTTTTCCTATCATAGACTAAAACAATGTAAGCACTACTTGGAAAGCCTGCAAGTTTCCTATATTAGACTAAACGGTCAACGCTGATGCTACTAGGAAAGCCTGCAAGTTTCCTATATAAGACTACAACAGTCAACGCTGATGCTACTGGGAAAGTCTGCTGGTTCTTCATATTAAACTACAACAGTCAACGCTGATGCTACTGGGAAAGCCTGCTGGTCCTTCATATTAGACTAAACAGTCAATGTTGATACTACATCAGAGGGAAAGCCTGCTGATTCTTTAGTCTACACTGGCTATAATCATACATTATAAGCTTAAAGTTGTCATTTTACAATTGAAATATTGCAAATATATATCGTTGACAGATTTCGATCAACATGCCAGGTATCATTAGCATAGAAAACTCACCAGGACTTAATGGTGCATCTTCCTCATCCAAAAGCTTGATTTCAAGGTCTACCATCTTTGCTAATTTGTATTCTGGCTTCTGCATCTGTTTCATACACTTCTTAATAAAACCAACATAATCTGAAATCAGAGTTGCATTAATTAATTAGACCACTGTAAAATTGTATGCAGGTCTCAAATCAAATTTAACACTTTTTTTACTTCAGCAACTTTACAGATTTATACTTTGATTTACCTGCTTGTACTTAAACAAATAAAATTCAAATTATGCAATTCATAAAAGAAAATAGTCTCAAATTCAAGATGCCTAAAAACAAAATCAAATTTTAATACAATCAATATTTTTAGAGACTATCAGTTATGAAAATAATTGATAAAAAAAATATTTTGTGAATAATCCAAAATAACACATTTCTGAATTATTACGTTTAAAAAGTGGCGAAACTTAACCAAATCACTAACAGTTAATTTACCTCTGGGAAAATTTTCAGGCTTTACCAATTCCTTGAAAAATTCATACGCTGTTGTAACCTGGTCAAGGTACTCTGTTCCATCCACATACCAAAACTTCAGTCGTCTGGATTCCTAAAACCAATAATTATAATTATAAAATGCTACTTGGATAATACATACATACATATACCAAAACTTCAGCTTCTGTGATTCCTTAAACCACACTACAACATTTGGATTGGATAGTAATTAAAACTTCAATTCCTTTTGTTTTGTGGACTCACTTTTGGCAATTCAAGGATATTCCATCTACCAAATTCACAAGATTTTGTTCATTTTTACTTTTCCAGGTAAGTTAACCAGTTGTTGTAGCAAAACCCAAATGAATCCCACATAATTTTGCATTTGGAGAAAAAATCCACCATCTACAAAAAGTTAAAACATGCATACAATTTATACATAGACAAAGAACACTGATAAAGGAATATGCTGTTTAATTTGAGCCCTTTCTTTTTTACTGGTTATTGTATTAAATTAACAGGGACAATAATTAAAATCCAATCTCAATCAAATAATCGGGATACTAAGTTTCCTGGAACAAGTTTGCAAGAGAAGTAAAAGGACGTATGGCGTTTTAGCTGAATATCCATCACATAGTGAAAGTGATCAACGAAATGCAATGTCACAAGACATGAGGAACAGACTAGAATTTGAACTTAAGCCTCTGGAAAAAATCGACCCCGCGCCAGGGTCACTTTTCAAACCGATATTTTAGAAACAAATCGTCACTTTCACACACATGTCGCACATGGATCATCTATCCTTTATGCACAAGCTGGTATCAATAACATGTTTCAAAGATCATTACGAACAGTATTTTCCAAGTTTGAAAAAATATGTTTTTAGTGATTGTATTGGTTGTTTGAGGCATGTTATGTATGTTCATCGTGTGCATAAAGAATAGATCTTTCGATCCAAGAGGGCCGGAGTTCTGACGTTAATCGATGACAGACCGATATAAAAGTTGATAAAACGTCAGAATAATTTCGGACTATCGCAAAAGTAGCCTTCTATATATATTTTCATCAACTTGAACCGGCAATTTTTTCCAGAATTGGTACAGGTCTACATAATAGCATGTAAGCATTCAGATGGCTATTCTATTAAAGTGCGACACCTATTTTGAAACTGAGACTAGTGTGAACACTGCACATGCACAAAGAAGCAATAATGCTTTATAAACTGTTTTCAATTTTTCTCTCTCTCCAGGAACAGGGATTTGGAATTGTGAAAAGTATACACTCCCACATGTACAATATATACTGTACATGTTATATATACAATGTATGTAACATATACTGTATAACAGACTCCCCTCCACTGTGTCTCCTAATAACCACTAGGATTTACAGCCATCAGGATGGTTGAACTACACCTTGGGCTGTTTTTCACAATTTTAAGTGGAATCTTGCATTTTGGTAGTACTGTACATACGCGATACGATATCCGATACAAATTCAGTTTTTATTAAAACAATCCTCAAGGATCCACATACCACCATCCTGTGCTCAGTTTTCTGGTCGACAAGGAAACAGTTAAACCCAATCTGTAACTGTGGACGGGTAAGGTCAAGGTCATCAGCTAAAAACACAAAACTTATATTCAGTAAACATCCTTCACCCCGACACGAAATAAACTATACAATGTATATGAAAACACACATCAGTGTTACCGAGTGTTCTTTTCTATTTGGTGTACAAAGATTTTTTGTTTGCCTAGTTTAACAGCCAAATACAGGCTGCTTCCCGTTGGCTAAAAATAACTTTATTTTTCCCAAAATGAAGAAAAAATCAGGAACACCTTTCCAATTTCAATAAAAATAAGGCAATATTTTCCCCGATTCATGTGGGAACATGCTGTTGTAAAATTTAGGTTAAACATCATGTAGTAGATTCAATTGGTTTTTAAGATTCTGTACCTCTAGCTAGGTACTTAATTAGTTATACAGTTGGAGGCGCGGTAGTCTAGTGGTAGGACGCCGGGCTCGTGACCGAAGGGTTGCAAGTTCGACTCCCCGCACGGCACTGTGTTGTATCTTTGAGCAAGACTCCTCTTGTTCCAGTCTACTCAGCTAAAAATGAGTACGTGGTTGGGTGGTGCTAGAATTGTTAAATGCTAGCTGTGAGCGCCGAAATGGCAGCACCGACTGTATGCTCCCCAGAGAGTTGAGAAAGATATTGGCTGGATGCAAAGGCCCTATAACCACGGATAATAATTTGTGAACCGCTTTGAGACGACCTACAAACTAGGTTGTGATAAAGAGGTACATATAAGAACCTCAAATTATCTATATAATTTTTATTATTATATACAGGACAGTTCTTGAAAAATGTGGGTTTGGGAATAAAAAAAGTCATTGGGGATTTTGGGGTACACCGACACATTATAGCAATGATCAGTTCCTCAGCTCGGCTGTGATGTGGATTGGGATATCATAGACAAAGATGTGTAATCATATCTTATTTTACTGCATCAATTTAAAGAAATGTTACATGCACAGATACATACTAAGCTTACACAAATCAGACGATAAACATACTGATTATTTACTTATGCCATCAATATCTAAACCAACAAGTTTTCAAATTTTGGACAAACAGTTATTCAGGGGATGGGGGCCGGGACTTCCATCAGGATATAGAGCTAGCCAGAACAATAAGACTCACTATCGGCCTGCTTGTTGACAACAAGTCCACTGTGCCTGCCTCCACCGACATGCTCAACACTGTCATCCAGACCCAAATCCAGCTTCCTTCTCTTCTCAATTCGGATTTGTGTTGTTTTCCCCTTCTTTGATGGAGTCATGACGATTTCTGTGTACGTAAACAAGCAATTTTGTTTATTTGAAATCACACATATCATGAAATCCTATACTTAAATTCTTATACATTTTTATTTTTATTTTGATGAAAAGTGATTACCATTGAAGTTAATCATTAAAAGGACATTATAATCATGGCAGCTGAACAAAATACTTTGACAAACTACTGGGACTGGGTCACCCATGCCAGCTGGCACCCAATATTCATATTCCTGAAACTCTTCTCCCGCAGCTTAAACTCAGATTCTGAGCTCAATGTTCTAGGTCTAATTCCTCATTTTGATAATAAAACTTTCAAATTCCATTTTCTAATGATTTTGAGGAAATTTTGGCAAACTTAGTTTGAAGCAAAATAATAATTTGGATGTTTATACTTTACTTTCTGACTAAATTGCATAATTTACGCAAGTTACAAGTGAGTTTGTTTGAGTATATTGTTCTTGCATAACTTGTTTAGGTAAGAGAATGGTTTCTCAAGAATATGTACATGTGCACTTGTTTTTAACTCTTTCTTTCCCTAGTTGGCCTTAAATAATGTTTAAGGAATGAATTACAACATTATGTCGACAAACTGTGTAAATAGTACACTGGTGTGATGTGCAATATCTACGGTAATATTAATTCTAAAACAGAACATGCACGATAGAATTTCATAACATAATGCATAGTCCACGTAAAGTGGTTTTATAAAAGCCTACCTTCTTTTTCTTCGGCCATCTTGAAAAAGTTTTCCTCTGAAAAAAACAAAAAATGAATATGATTATTGAAATAGCTGAAAATAGGAATCTCATCAATAAATCTGCAGTGACTTTTCTAACCCTTTTTCACAGATTTCTATGCCTGCAGTCAATTTGGGGAAATGTCATCCATAATAGGACATGACTTTTGGAAAATAAAGTGATTTTGGCATCTATTTGGCCAAAAAAAGCAGAAAAAATGTCCAGAAATTAATGTAAAAAAAATCACAGATCTGGTTATATAAAATAAAAGAATATCATGGATCAGTTCAACGTAGATTTTTTTTGTAAAATCTTTCAGGGGGAAAATTATTTTTCAGGAAAAAATCAAAACAGGTAAGCTTTTTTCAGTATGAAGGCTAAACTTTTCCCAATACATTGTGCCTTTAAAATTTCCATTGTACAATCTTTCTTCACATTTATGAAAAAAATATCAAAAAGGAAACCTTGATTCTTTAAAATTAGTTTTCCTGCATCACAGTATCAACTAGTTACTCAAATAAAATTGAGTTCCAATGATATCTTAATTTTAGTCAGAAATGGAATCTATGTATTTTTTTCTGCAAAGGCTGAAACAAAGGGGCCTTATTGTAATACAGCTAACACCTAGTTGTCCCACTTTCTAGCCAGTGTCCAGGACAGATTGACATTTTTCTTTACAAATCTATTGAACTATATATATAGCTCTCTCACAATCCAACAATTTATTTTTGAAAACATGTGGCTGAATTATGGAGACAATTTTGTGTATTTTAAGTGTTAAACAGAAAACAATAAAAAAGTCATCAAATTAACATATCCCCTCAACTTTCAAAAAAGATACTTTGTTTCAGTTGAATATTGTTTCACTTGGTTAGGCCCTGATCATGAATAACTGATATATTAAGTTGCAATAGAACATTGTTGTATGTTGTAGGCAATTCAAACATCAGATCATAGAAAAGTTCCATCCTACTTGTAATTCCCATCTTGTCCTCACCTCACATTATACACATAGTAAACACATTTTTGTTATATTATTAAGAGATATTTTCAGTTTAAGTGTGCATGATTAATCTAGCCAGCTACATTGGGGAACAAAAATGAAAAATGAAAGTTGTCTAGCTTGTTTATAATTTGACAAGTCATACCACTTAACGTTCCTCACTATTGATTACAATATAATCCTTGTGTCAGGAAAATGCAGGTAAGTGGATATATATACAAACCTGATTCATTCACCCATGAAAGATTTTAATATAACTGTCGAAATTGGATCACAGTTTGGTGTACATGCGTGATTGGTTTATCAAATCATAAACTGAATCTGTTTTTAAAATGTTTGTTTCCAGATGCTCTTTATAACCAATATATCTTAACTCTGAGAACTTCTTACTGCTTTACCTGAATCTTTGTACATACACCATGTGCATATATATATATATATATATATATATAGATAGCGGACGATCTGAAAAAAATATTTTTTTATTCTATATAGATATATATATATGTGTATGGGGCAAAGAAGCAATTCCAACAGTGTGGACAAGTTTAGGTTGTCAAATTTTTGGAGCGATCCACTCCTTTATCAAGACACAGTGAAACAGAACAGTTACATGTACGTATACATCATATTACAAGGAGATAGAACTGATATACTATAATTGAAAAATATAGCTCTTATATTCAAACCCAATAGTCCCCTCGGCGAAAGACAGCCGATCGCGAAGGCAGCAATTAAGCTGAGAATATATATATATATGTGTGTGTACCTATCCGAAATGTTGGAGAATGTTTTTCCTCCGACAGTCAAGTCAGGTAAATTTTATTTAAAATTCGGTACATGGTTAAACAAGGCAACACAAGCCTATGGAAGGCTTTTAACAACCGACTATATAACAAACAAAACGGAGGTAGCATTATATAAAACATAACAAGCAGGCAAATCTATGACACTGTTAAAACACACACATTAAGTTTTCAAATTGTTTATGATATATTATCAGCCTGTGATGTTTCTAAATTTATCTGTGATGATGTTGAATAAATGACCTTTTATAAAAAAAAATAAGAATAACAAATCCTGAGTTACTGGGGTGCAGGTCGAGCATACCATGCTGGTAGGGGGCTCCCCAACCCTTGGAGCGGACCATGTACCACTGTACTATCTTTTCTCAAGTTCTTTTATATCTTTCCTTCATCTCAAATCAAATTATAAGCAAATGTGATCAAATAATAAATTAAATTCAAAATTTGATAAATGTAACTTGCCTCTTTTACTGCATTAATATTATTATTATTATTATTTATTTAAAATTAAACACGTTTTATTGGATGCTTTCTCTCTATTTGTATCTTTTACAGCATGAACATATCTTGTTTAATTAATAAAACCGTGTTTTTATGTATGTTTTATTTGTTATGTGGATTGTAAAAGCTCACCAAACGAGCTTGTGTTTATCTTTGAAATCATATCAACGTTAAATAAAATTGACTTGACTTCACATAGTTAAACATATAAAAGATTGGTAGTGTGGTTCCAAAATGAAAATTCCAGGAGAATAACTTTTGGCACATACATTCAGGTACCATTTTTAGGCAAACAGTCAAAACAAGGTGGCTACAGTGCCCATTCCTTGATGATCATGGTTAATTATAAATTCCTAAATAACTTAAAACATTCTGGAACAACTAACACACTTATCACACAATGTCTTCAACAAATTACGTAATTACAGCACATATAAATAGATACAAATATATATAAATAGCACAGATTGAATAGAAGACATACAAACCAGGTTTGAATTGAAATTACAAGAAATAAAACAATGTATTATAAGCAGCACATACAATTTACACAAAATAAAAGCAAAGCAACACACACATACACATTTTACAAGCATTATAATGACTAACTAAAATGTGTATGTGTATATAATTTGTATGTTGTTCCTCCGACACAAGATGATGTGTGTGGAATACAAATGCATCCTTTCAAGTCAGATAGTGTTCCTCGCCAGTTCATACTAGGTACATCATGCAATACTAATTAATACTGATACGGTACATGTTAATAAGGACGGTCGAGGGAGCTCCGAGTCTCTACACATAGGCTACACATACATGTACGTATGTGTATCTACAAACTGCTCAACTTTTCAATATTATTATCCACTTTGGAGATTATTTCAGAACAAATTAAGGCTTACCCAAATGTTTTGAAATAAGTTTCCCGACAGAAACATGAAAAGCACACCTCAGGTAATGTAACTGGGCCTATAATTATAACAGGCGGAACTCCCCGGAAACCCGGCTCGTGAATCATCAAGGCCGTGCCCTCATTTTCCCCACTGACATTTTTCATCGTGTAGCAAAATTGAAACTATGAGCAGTTTTAGTTTGGTTTGCTTTGCATCACTTACATGTGTTGTTGTTCGAATAATAATCTGTGTTTTCACCTCTCCTCTCACCAGCCAAAATATCAACAGGTCTTCCAATCTTAGTGAACGCTACGCTTACTTTGCCGCCATATTACATTCCATTACGGCGCATGCCCAAAGGCGACCAATTTCCACACCTGTATGGTGATCAGTAGCTAGGTGCCTACATGGTTTGGAGGAAGGTCGGTTACGGCTGGGTTTATATTATAAATCGTACCATTCTGTGATGTAAACACGTACAGTGCATATGGCATAATATGTATTGCATTGTCGTCTGCTGAAAGGCCGTAATAGCGGACGTAAAACCATCAAAATCAATCGATGCAACCACGGAATTGGATCTAAGCTCGTGATGCAACAGACATTGATTGCTTCGTCTGGAAACGTAGAATTTTATACGTCTCTGCTTCATCCTTTTCAAACATGTATGCAGAGACATGTCTCTGTTATATCATATGCACGGACTTAGATCTAATCTAATTCCGTGGTAGCTAACAAAAGTACAGGACCTGTATTTGTTACATATACAGCTATATTTGGACCTAATTAACGGGCCCCAATTTAATGATTCTTTCCGTCTCAAAAATGGATCCATGCGCCTTGAAAAGGGGATTGGGAAGGTTCGACGTCTTTATTTTATAACGTGCTACCTGTGTATACTCTTCCACCATGTATACTATCGTGGTGGTGGTTGTGGGGTACGTGTTTGTCAGGCCGCATAACCCACCGGAAAACATGAGCTAGATCAGTGGCGGATCCAATGGGGTTTTTTGGGCTTCAGGACCCCCCCCCCTGAGAATGTTCTTTAAAAATCATAAATTTTTACCATTTTCCTCATTTCTTCCCCACTTGGACCCCCCTGGACATTTGGAAACCCTCCCAGATAGGTCTCTGGATCCGCCGTTGTAGATATATAGTCTTTTAGTTGGATTTGGGACATTTTAGAACGCAATTCAATGTTATAATTTAAATAAATTTGAGAACAGTTAAATAGCATGTTCAATGTTATAAGTATTTATAATAATAACGTTCACAATATTTCGGATAATGGAGGTTTAACTAGTTTGAGAACTACGCGGTACTTTTTATACTCTGACGTGAAATGAGATACTTAGTAAAGACAAAGGAAGCGGGAGGAGGATGGTGTTATTACGCTATAGAACAGACACACACTTACGATCTTAAACCAACGATCTTAAACCAACCGTGAAGGGTGCATATAGGTAATTAGTGCATGGACGGGTGTGTGTGTGTGTGTGTGTGGTACATATCCCGGCGCGCCAGTGATAGATCCTTAACACTGATTGTAAATTTATGTCATCATCTATGTTATAAATATCTGTTGACGGAATTTACAAATTTACAAATGACAATTTCGACAATTTTAATTTTGAAAACTGCAGCTTATATTATTATATGAGATTAATTGGGCTTCAAGACACACCCCCCCCCCCCCCCCCCCCCCCCCCCGATAATTTTGTAACCCCTGGCGTGTCGAAAATGTCGTCTATTATACGCTAACAAAGGATTCAAACAGAGACATTATATAATGCAGATACACCTTCTAGCGGCGTACCATAAGAATGAGTGACAGGTATCTAACCTTAGCCGTAAAGACCCTTTTGATAGTGTATTACTTTAACTTCGGGCAATGATAAGATACACCGTATCTATATAGTGCATGGATACCAACTAACACTCCGTTCATCTCAGGTGTGAACGAAATATTTTTCCACCTTCAGGCGCGATAACAGGCACCAGACACCAGGTATAATCGCATACACATATTACTTGACCTGGAAACGGGACGGTCAGTTTGGACACTAAATTACCAATAAAACCAAGATATGTTATTACTCCATGTTGGAATTGAAAGTGGTAACAAATATATTAAAGAAAGGGAGTGACTTTAATAATTGCCCTAAAGTCAGTAGCTGAAAAAATATCTCCAAAGTATTTATGTTCCTGCATGCCAGACTAAGAAATTCACAGCTTCTTTGGGACGGGAGAACTCCCACACCACAAACCCGGTGCTTCACCCTGGCAGACCGGCCACTTTCCATCAACCACCCACAACCCTTTGTCAATTTGGCTTCGGCTACGGAATTTATATTTTTTTTAGTGAATAACAGAAACGAATATTTTGATAATTATCTCCAGGTTGCATAGTGATTTTAATGAACTAGAATGTAATGAATGATTTAAAATTGTAGAGTGTAATTTATTCTTTTTTTTCCGGTTAAAATAATAATGTAAAAATAATAATAAGATACAACATTTGTATAGCGCCCTATATATAATTTCAAATAACTATAACGCGCTTTACAACATCTGGATCATAGTATTAGTTATAATTGTTTAAGAAAGGCCTACAATCACCATTAAACATTAAGCAAGAAGATAATCATCTCAATGTGCACATAAACGAATAAATAAAGGGTGGTATCTACATGTACATGACGTCTGTGCAAAGAGCCTAAAATGCAGACGTGAAGAGGTGAGTTTTGATGTCCTTCTTGAATTGGGCCAGGATATTTCACTTCCTAATAGCAGATGGTAAGCTATTTCAGTAACCGAAAGCTTCACAAAGCACCAGTTTTCATAGGTCACAGTACGAGATTTTGGGACATATGTAAGCTTGAGCAGTGTTTTTTTTAGGTAACCCCGTTTTGTTATCGCGAACGGAACCAGTATACTATTTATTTAACGAAAGTTATGGAAATTAAAAAGCCATACATTTTTCGACACGGCCCTTATGCTCTTCCGTATGTTCCTCATCTACATGCAGATAATATTATTCAATATGTTGTTGTTTCAATTTATATAGAGTTAGGACTAGTATCTGAAAATAATTGTCATTCTTAATTGGTTTATCAAATGTTCTACTAATATTGAGAATGTTAAAAAATGTCAAAGAGAAGAAAAAAAATGTGCGAGAATGGGGAATGGGTGATTGAAATATAACGTGTACATGCCAATGTAAAGTTGAAGAACTTAAAATTAAAAAAAAAATAACGATAATTGGACTCCAGACGTCACAAAGAGTAAACGCTTATAGTATAACGCTATCAAGATTACGAGTTATCTCCCGTTGAACGATCGGCGTGTGTGTGATTCTGCTCCTGTTTTTTAAACGATTGATCCTCCGAGATACCTGTCATTTGTAAAATTCGTTCCTTTGTGCAAATGCACACATCTTTCCGGATGGAGTTTCAACAACCATGCACACATATAGCAACATTGTTCCATCCGTCGTAGACCTTCATCAGGTAAGTTCTGGTCATATGTTTTCGTGTCATCCGAAAACAAATATGATTTCGAAAAAAAACCACCAACTGAGTAGTAGATCATTATTGTCGATGACAATCAATATGGGATCTATGCCAGACCCTTGTGGAATCCCAAATGTTCTACATGTATGAATATCCATTCCGAGAAATTCTTCCTAAAACTACCTTTTATCAGTCTGACAATTGTATGTTGTGTTCCGTTAATTAATGTGGCAGCCTTTGTTTTCGTAATATTCGTGTCAAACGCCTTTCAAAAATCTGTATAAATGCTGCAATAATTTGGGGTTCCTTAAGGATCCCTGCCCCGCTGTACTGTGTATTTTCTTCGGAAATTCTTGTTTAACACTGATTAACCTCTTAACCTCCGTGAAGATGTAACCGTGTCACAGTAAGGCTAGGGCGTATCTGTTTACCAGGTAGCTCAGTCGGTTAGAGCGATAGTATAACAGTCTGAGGTCCAGGGTTCGAGTCCCGATCTAACCCCGTTAAATGATCACACTCGGAACACTGTCGTTAATCATGTTTTGATCATTTCTTTTTGACCATTTATTAAGTCCTGCATGATCTGTTTTTATTGTCAGAAATGATTAATCAAAGCTATAGTCATGCCGGGAAGGAGGATTCCAAAGCGTAGTTACAGTTCTAGGTAGTGGCACGGGCATCCTTAATGCGTGACATGGCTGTGGTCCATTTATCAAATGGAGCATTGCTGATCTGCCATATGCTGTTATTAAGTTCTTCTTCTTCAGAGTACAGGGGCTCCATCAGTATAACGTTGATTATGCCATTGGGAGCCTGTGCACAGAGGCGTGAAAAAGGGGATTATTTACAGTGATGAGATAAGTTTTTTTTTGGTGCAGGGTATAAGATAAAAGGTAAAAGTTGGTGTATGTTAACTAGCGTGTGATGAAGGCTTCAAAGGATGCATAGGGTATGTGTGTCTTAAAGTCCTCGAGTGTGGTGGATTGTACTGCTGCTATGGGAAGGAGATTCCATTGTGTTATTGTGTCACAGTGTGGAATGAATGAATATTTGTAGATGTCCGTTGTAGCAGAGATGTGTTTGTATGCGTAAGGGTGTGCATGTCTGGTTCGAAGGTCTACGGGTGTGAGTATATATATGTTGGATTTAACTAAATACTTAATTTTATTTCTTGTGATCAAGTCAGATTTTTTCCTAAAGAGTGTTTTTATTATTATTTTACACAGAATGAAAGTAAAAATTACAGATCAATGATTTCCAGCGAGGGACTCCTTTCTTGAGCCATTTCTTTTCTTCGGGAACAGTATCAGTTTTCATTTACTAATATTATAAGGATGTCAAGGGCTCGCCTATTGTCGACAAACACATTAAGGATCCCCATTTCACTGCCTAAACATGTATACAGGTATATCCATTGGACATTTACGTTTTTAAAAATACCCGTTTCAGAACAAAACAGTCTACATGCGTGTTTCCCCCTTTTTGTCTGTTACTTATTTAAAGGTACCGTGCCGCTTAACTTCGCATTTTTCTTGTCAACATGAGAAATCTTGCATTTATTACCTTTCTTACATAGCAAAAGTTATTAACTTTCCGTTAATATCAAACTCAGAAAGTGAAACGTGTCAAAGATA